ATATCTTATCTTATCTTATCTTATCTTATCTTATCTTATCTTATCTTATCTTATCTTATCTTATCTTATTCACACCTACAGACAATTCAGAATCACCAATTAACCTCAACATGTTTTTGGACTGTGTGGGAGGAAGCCAGAGAAGTTCTTCACCAGTCGCACACTCCGACTGGAAGGAACTGGGCAAGGTCAAAGGATTGGCAGATCACAGATCTGGTGGTTTTTAATATGAATACAACTTGGCAACAACAGTACATACAGAAACATGGGATTATAAGATAATTTATGGGAAGGCAAACACAGGAGATGAAAAAAAAGAGGTAGTCAGATGAAATAGCTTGCTTCACACAGATGGTCAGGGAGATTCTGTGATGCATAAGATGTTGACTTGGGAATAGTATTTATGAAGACACAGGGTTTGCTCTTGACAAGTGCTCTTGAGACCAGCTAGTCTTTCTCTGCAAAGTGCTCAATGAACCTACAAGGAGACTGAAGATTGCTGATTGGTCATTTTCTTCCTGAATGTGTTCAGTGAATGAAGTTGTCAGAAAATCCATGACAATTTAAACTGCACTGGTTGGCAGAGGCACCCAATCACAAGATGGTACATCTAGATTTTTGGAAACAAGACCTTCATGTTTGGAGACATATCCTGTGGTCTGATGAAACTGAAACTGAACTGTTAGACCATAATGACCATCGTTACATTTGGAGGGAAAAGTGGGAAGCTTGCAAGCTGGAGAATTCCAACTGTGAAGTATGGGGGTGGCAGCATCATGTTGAGGGTGTTTTGCTGCAGGAGGGACTGGTGCACTTCACAAAATAGATGGTATCATGAGGAAAGAACATTATGTAGAAATATTGAAGCAACATCTCAAGACATCAGCCAGGAAGTTAAAGCTTGAGTGCAAATGGGTCTTTTAAATGGACAATGAACCTAAACATACTGCCAGATTAGTTACAAAGTGGCTTCAGGACAACAAAGTCAGTGTTTTGGAGTGGCCATCACAAAGCCCTGATCTCAGTCGTGTGGAAAACTTGTGGGCAGAGCTGACAAGACAAGTGCGAGCAAGGCAGCCAACAAACCTGACTCAGTTACACCAGTTCTGTGAGGAGGAATGGACCAGAATTCTAGCAAACTGTTGTGAGAAACTCGTGGAAGGAAACCCAAAATGTTTGACCCAAGTCACACAGTATAAGGCAACGCTACCAAATACGAAGGAAATGTATGTAAACTTCTGACTTTGAAGAAAGTAATGAGACATTCTCTAAAAAAAAAAAATCTGTCTCTCATTATTCTGGCATTTAGCAAATGAATTTGGTAATCCTAACTGACCTAAAACAGGAAAAGTTTAGTCACATTTCATGTCAGTCAGTGGGGGAAAAAAAGGTTATATGTCTTTTTATACAGTGTATGTAAACTTCTACTTTCAACTGTATATGCACACTACTGTCACTACACTCCACTGCCTGGACTTCCTCTAAGTTTCATATCCAGCTCATTGTCCAGTACACATCACTGTGTACAAAGTAGGACCGGATGAGCTTGAATCTTACTTATGCAATTTCCTATTACTTACCACCAGCTGCTACAGCTCTCACTTATCTAAATGGCTGCTTTACAGGATGCCGAGGATTTGCTGTGAATTTGGCAGAACAGACGTCTCCTATTTTGCATGCTTGTCCTGAGCTAACCTCTAGAACACAAAGCAGCCTAATGATTTTACCTCCCTGTGGGAATGCAAACTTCCTGTCAAAGGACGTGAAGAGCGAAATTGCAACTTTTAAACTGAATTTAATGTGCTTTATTTTCAGTTTATGTCAATTGTTGTCATGCTCATTTAGTGATCTTTTGTGTCTTTATTGTGGTTTTCCTCTCCTGGCCAAAAGAGATTGTAGTCTCAAGGTACAACCTGGTTAAATAAAGGTTAAATAAATCAGGGTTAAATATAAATTCATGCCACCATCTGACCAAAATTGTAATTTTTCCATTCACTGATTAATGAACAAATGCTGCCAATGTACCTGTGCTTTAGCCAAGTAGTAGATGATGGTTTATATGAACATTTTTAAAAACACTGATGAATTTCCAGTATTATTCATACTCTAGTCTAAACAGTGCGTGTCTGAATGTTCAGATAAAGTTTATTTACTCTCTCCAAAAAAACGTTCACGTTTACTTATCCAACACTACATACAGATTTGGAGATTTATTTATACCTGTGACATATAACTGGCTTTTGTTCTCTCCCAGTACAGAATAACTGTGAGCCAGGTGTGAGTGTGGTTCTGTATGCAAATTTGAGTGTGCAGGTACAAGCTGATGATTGGTTGATCAGCTGCCAGCCTGCAAGTGATTGGCTCCTGGCTGACAGCCCACAGCAGTAGGAGCCAAGATGTTGTGGTACAGGAGAAATCAGTCATCGCCTTCCACTAGCGATCAGCCACAGTCTGTCCACCAGAAGCTTGATGGAGATATTAATCTGAATGAGTTTGTTTGGGTGGACAGCCATTTGTTTCAGCCTTGTTTATTTTCCTGTTTATGTGGGACAAGATGTTGTATTTTGATTTGTTGATTTCAATTCGTACGGCAAATCATAGGTGAACTCTTTCGTTACAGTCACACATTTAAACATATAATTGCATTTCTCGTTACACATATATACTGTATGTTTGCATGTACAGCCATTGTGAACATGCTGCTTTTTTTTAGAAACATCTTTGAACTTTCACATTTTTCACAAATAAATGCTAATTCATGAATGTCTCACAGAAGTCAACCGGCAGGAAAAATATGTATTTGACTTGACAAATGCCATTTTTCCTGTATTTTCTGTTTCTTGCACTGTAGTTGCCGAGCATGTCTAGAGTTGCAACAGCAATTTGAAGCAACAGTGAAGGCCATAAAGTCAGTGAAGTGACTCAACAAAGTGCATTATACAACAATTCTTAGTGTTTGTTTGCTCACAGTAGACATAATAGGTCAGGAAAATGTCATACCCTATAAGCAACAGTGTGTTTCACGGCTTAAGAATTCAACTTTTCATTTGTAAAGGAAGATCATTTCTTCTCTCGAATGTTGCAGTCTTCAGTCCAAAAAGGATCATGATCAGGACAGTCTCAGACCACTGTAGGTCCATGTCCAACCCGTTACTGTGGGTAATCTGTTGTGTTTTCTGTTGTATTTCTTGTGTAATTTCAAAAAAATTACTTCCAACAAAAATGACAAAGATAACAAGTAATATACAGTGAAGGAGGAGACAGAAAACCTAATGGGCTTATTTGAAACATCAACAGAAAGAATGTTCAGATTACATAAAACTACTGGAAAAACAAGATTAACATTAGTGCTAAAACTAACAACTATTTTCATTGTTGCTTAATCTGTTGGTTACATTTTAGATTAACTGAATCATTGTTTGTTGTATAAAATGTCCAGACATGGTAAAGCATTGTTGATTAGTGCTTTCCAAAGCTCAAGATGACGTCCTCACATGCCTTGTTTAATCCATAACCCAAATATATTCAGTTTACTGCCATAGTGGCGTATAAGAAACAATCTAGGAAATATTACAAATATTTAAAAGATAAGTCATATTGAATAATCTACTATCAAAATAGTTGCCAATTGATATAATAGTTGGAAACTAATTGATTAATTGATTAATTGTTGCAGCTCTAACTGACATACTAAATGTTATCAGTAAATAAAAATGATGGAAAACTAATAGTAAGACAATATATATTATGCAAACTATCAGCATAGAAGCAGGAAATGTGAGCAAATGTTTGGAGTTAGTCCCACGGGTGAGAGAAATATAATATAAGCAAACATATAACCATTTACATCAATCATAATATATAAGGAAGGTTTGTGTATCTCAAAGGGGAAATGTAAAAAAAAAAAGCTTTGATTAAACTGTTTTCTGTAAGCTCCATGTGAACCATCTTGGACGGTGCTGTACGAGGCCACGATATAGGCTGTACAGATACGTTGTGAGTTGTCTTTGATGTAAATATGACTTGAGAAAAGCAGGTCTCAAAAATGTGAGCATTCAGGAATCAACAAGAAGAGGGTGAGATGCAACAGCTCCCTTACACCGACTAAAAAGACTGATTTTGGAAAGACTGTGGCAGAGTCTGACAACAGTATAGCGTCCTTGGCTTAGTTGAGAACTGCTCAATTGTTTGTATTCTCTGCATAAGTACAACAACAACCCTACACACTGATCAAACATCACTGACTCGCTCTGCTCATTTTCTTCTTTTCAAGTGTGTTAGAATAATTGTGAATAATTCAGTAGCCAGAAAAAACTCCAGGACATATTACATATTGTCTTTTGACTTGATTTTGCTTGTTGTTTGTTATTGTCTTTTTATTATTGTAGTTGTTATTTCTTTGATTGTTTGATTTTCATTGTTTTGGATTGTCTGTACTGAATCAGTTTGAAGATGCCTAAATTCTGTTTCAGATTGCTAAACTATCTATCTATCTATCTATCTATCTATCTATCTATCTATCTATCTATCTATCTATCTATCTATCTATCTATCTATCTATCTATCTATCTATCTATCTA